TTAGCCTGTCCTGTGTCTCTATTCCCCATCTGTACAATGGGGATTTATAACACTTCCCTATTTTAAAGGGGTGTGGTGATGATACTACAGAGAGGTGTACAAATCCCAATCTTAAATTTAAATCTTAAATCTAAATCTATACACACACACACACAATCCCTAAAATAGCTATAAAACCACCTTTCCAATATATACTTTAAAATAATACCAGAGGGGGTTTAAAATATCGAAGGTTGGAGGCCATCAGTGTATCATACATTACAACATAATATATGTGAATACGAGGTTAAACAGCTATGCCCATGTTTTGGGTGCACGAAAAAGTGGCAACCCGAAGATTAATTGCCTGCACAAATTCTATTATTCCAAGCAGCAGCGAGAATAAGAAGGAACGTGGCAGTGATGTTGACAAAGCACTTAGAGGCTGTATTGTATTCGTACATTTCTTTTCTAAAATTCAGGATGTAAAACAATATTCCATCTCGCTCTGGTGTTTACCACTCAGAAGTCACTGCTTATCCCTTTCCCTGCACGCTGGCCAGCAAGAGACAAGGTTCTTGTCTACATGAACAATTAGTTCACAGCACACCAGGGTGCGCATCTACCCTGTACTGGCCTGCCATGCACTGACTGTCCACACGGACCCTGCTGACGTATATAAACAGTTTGTTAATGTGCTTTGATCTAATCCCGCTTCAAAGAGGCAGGGTGGATTCACATCCCAGCCTGCAGAGAACTAAACATTTGTGTAGCCAGGCGCAAGGTTATTTCTCTTCAAATGGATCTGTTCTTTGTCACTTTGTTCTTCCGCAACAAGCACTGAGACCTGGATTCTTATTTACACCATTCTAGATGGTCCCTTCACATGGCAATTGGGTGTAAGCATAGTTCACATGTACATGTAAGCATAAATCTGGCATTTTAAGGCCCCTTTACACTGTCAGAGTGGTGCCAAGTGGCCTATGCATAAATGTATCTATTCCAGGCCCTTATTACAGCCCCAGCTCCCTAACCATCTAACAATTAATGCCTTCTTTAGGCTTAAAAACTTGTTTCTGGCTTAAACCTTTTCAGACTACAACATATGGTGGTATAGAGTTTTATTTACTTTGAGGTCATGCCTCTAGACATCTGAGCAATTTAGTAATTCACACTTGCAAGCAATAAAATTACCTTTTACTACCCCGTGTTATCATTACTTTCCCATGTTCATGCACATAGGTGTCTTTCCCTTTTTAAATTCACCCACAGTTTAAATTGGATGCTGCATTCCTCTCATCCTCTCCTCAATTGTCGTCTAACACTGCTGTGTGGTGCTAAAGATCTCTAGGGTACGTTTACACTGCAAACAAAAAAGACCTACAGAAGTGAGTCTCAGAGCCCAGGACTACAGACCTGGGCTCTCTCTACACCACTACAAATAGCAAGCCAGTGGGACAGCCTGGAATACAGCTGGTCTCCCTCCCAGTTCAGCCCCATCTACTAGCCTACGCTGCCTCAGTGTATATTTTGAAAGTATCACCTTGCGTGTTGTAGAAGCAGGCGTCGGTCAGACCCAGCTAGAATCCAACGGCAAATTTGCTGGAACACCCACTCTGGCAACTGGCCGGGGGTAACAAACCGACACGCTAGCTGGAACGTTTTGTATGACTAGAAACCCAGCTGAGTAACTTCAATGCCATTAAAAAGTGCACCAGGCCCAAAGTGGATGATCAACTTAATGACAGAAATAACTTCACACAGCCAGGCAATGAGCAGCAGCAGCTGCTGCCCCCATTCCTGCCAGAGAAAGAACCTGTAAAACATGCAAGCAATATAATAACCCGCTCTAAGTGGTGAAAGCCCCCAGGAGATGCTTTCAGTAAACCAAATGTCAAACACTCTCTCCCCCATCACAGGGATAACTATGTTGACACAGCATAACATAGATAACATCCTATTAGCTGTAATAGGTTCTGAGGGTCAGCTGGACCCCCTGTAGTTTAGTTGGGAGTCAAGGTGCCTCTCTGAAAAGTAGTGGGGGGGGAGGACAGCCGCCCAATGAAGTGTGTTGCAGTTCAGAGAGGTTATGGTTGCCCCTGAACTGCTCTGTTCTCCAGGCTGCTCCAGTGCATTTAGCATTGGCGTGCGCGCTGTATGGGGTTTCAGCTCGCAGGCTGCTCTGTGCAACTTTTGGAACAAACACAACTGCTGTACTCTGACAAAGTGGTGGCAAGGTCACCTCCGGCCTGAGCCAACACGCTATGACAATTCCCAGGTTCTTATCATCAGCCTTTTTATTTAATACTTATGCACACACGCAGGTAAATTGAGGTGTCGTTCATTTTATGTGCATGGGGGTGTGTGCATGATTAATCTATAGGAGAATATATCTCTCTCTCACACACACACACACACACACAACGGAAAACACCCCCAACCTCATTTAAAATTCTCAGTGCATAAGTCACAGCCAGTCAACTGGAGATAATACTGGGATAGAGAAATATTAGAATCTAGCATATTATTATGCACAAGGTGCATACCAGCTCTTACGGGGGGTTTTCCTACCATGCCACCCACTAATTACGCTAAAACAAAATAAATAAATTAAGACCTGGGTAGTGAGAGAAGCACATTACAAGAAAGGCAGAAGAGACTAGTTTAGGGCCATGTTTATGCTGAGGCTTGATTTTTGCCATCTAAAAGCAAGAGGTGCTTCTTTTCCCATGTTTATAGAAACACGTGGATTTTAACGTCTCCCGCCTGGTTCCCTTTTGGGCCATCCCAAAAAGCAAAGCCCCCAGTCCCAGCACTATAAGCACATCTTTGCTGGTAGTGCCAATGCTAACATTGAAATGCTAATGGTGGCCTTCATCAACAGAAGACTATAAGTGCACCTGTCCATCCAAACACACCGGTGTACATGTCTCCTCTAGCCCACAAGTTCCAGCACGCACCTCTTCTCACCTCAAGCTACTTCTCACAAGCCCGTAGGTGAATGCATTTTTAAAAGGTCATCAGAAAAAATGGAGAATGCAAAATAACTTATGAAAAGGAAGTAGCCGACATTGTCCCTGCGACAAGGTGAGTAACTTACTAATGAATAGTCAAGAAAGGGAGAATTTGCTGCTGCAACTTCAGCCTTTCCCCATAGCCATTAATGACAATAGAGCTTAAAAGTGAAAACAAACCAAGCATCTACCCTTATCTTTACAGAAAAGCCATTAAGATGGAAGACGCGGCAGCCCAGGTTCTATGAAATGAGCCCTCTTCAGGCATACATGTGGATCGGGGAATGGGAATGTTCAGCCTGTGTCTCTAACACATTCCCTTTTATTGTAAGAGGCGAAGAGAATAATCAGGTTTTAGAATTTTCTTCCAGGCAGAATCTAGCAATGACTGAGCTTTGGCCAGAAGATTGTGATCTTTCCACTGTGCTGCAGAGCCTGTCATGGACATCAATACCTGTGTTACTCCTAAGCTATGTCACTACAGGGGTCCCTGCCAGGGCCACCCAGAAACTTGAGCAGCATAGAATGAAGTCGGTAAGCCTCTCTGGGCAAGATAGCAAGGCATGAGTGTGTTACTCCCATGCTGCCGGCTGGCTGCCAGCAAACTTGTGGGTGAAACTGAAGATGCCAATTACGATCTACAAAGCAATAAAGGACCCAGGGCCCACCAACTATTCACCTACCACAAGGACCGCTATTCCCTCTCTAAACCGGCATAACCTGTGTGCTTCTGGAACATTCATGCTTAAACTTCAAGGGTGATGCATGAGGGAGATAGGAATAGGAGGAACTCACTACTACCCACAACTCACTTCAGGCTGGCCACATCCAGAAAGCCACGTGCGATGCACCCGCTCGGTTATGTTTTTGGAGGGCCAGGGAAGAAGTTGAGACACGGAGATTTGAAACTCAACTGCTACACAGAGGCAGTAATTCTTTCTGGTAAATACAGCAGACACACGTTATTCTAAACATTCCTTACCTGAAAGCCTATTACCCAAAACTCTATTAGGTCTCCCATTGGGCATCATGTGCCTAGAAAGAGCCTGCGTGTTTATCCAAACAACCAGTCACTCTGTTCAGATAAATGGGGTCCTAATGTATTAAAAACAGAGCTATATTCAACTTCTTTACCAGTTGCCACAACGCAGCCTTTTCCAGGTCACTACTGACACCTCTATGGACCCCTGAACTCTACACCATTACTCCACAACTCTATCCAAAAGGATACTGACTAGGAACAGCACAAGTGTGATTGCCATATTCCAGACAGATGAACGTACAAATGGGCATCTCTCTAACTGTTAAGATTAAATGCCTGTCTGAAGAAAAGCATCTCTCAAGTAGCATAAATACATCCATTGGAAAATTAAGCCCACCTCCCTCCCACAAAAACACTTACCAGCAGTCAAGCTCATAGTTACACTCTTTTGTTTCGTTTTCTTTACTAATTAAATGTGCTAGGGCTCCTACAGCCTTGTACAGACATTTTTATTATTTAAATAGGAATAAACACTAGACATCATTTAGATCTTTTCAGTGAATTTCCTTCTTTTGGTACTACGTCTGGTTGTTAGCTGTACTGACAGCATTCATATTACGTAAAATTCACAAGACTACAGCGTATAACTCTCCACTCCTGATGCAAAGGGCCTGATTATTTTTCTAAACTGGGATTTCAGCCAATGGACACTGGGGAATTTGGCTCTCTATGTCCATAATCATGCTCCAAAATGAAGAGATTTTAAAATCGGGGGGATTTTTAAAGCAGGAATCATGGAGTCGGCATCAAGATTTATAGAAACTTCTCGTTTGGTTTTACAGTAATTACAGGAGTGAAAGCTCAGCTAGATTGCCTGGACAGATGTGGCCAAGACACCCAGGCTACAATGCCAGTGACAAATGGTTAACTGATAAGAAGAAATGGAGAGGGCGACAGACTGAAGAACAGGTCAATATCATGCTGTCATGAAGCCATTTGAGAACCATAATTAATCTATTACTCACCTGGCATCATCATTCATTGTACAGTGGTCAATAGGTGCCATGAAGCTCACCAGTTTGCTATGGACATGATACCTGAATAAGGCAGGAAATAAACAGACAGCACATTAGTAACTATTAAAGAAAAGGAAATGCCATTGCCTGCACTGAAATGTCCCAGTCCCCGAAATGGAAACGCCGGCTCCCTTGTTGGCTAATGCTTAATGACTCTCTATTTCGAGTCGGCAGTTTTTGCATCCTTCCTAACGTTAACAAGAGGGGAATAAAAGTCAGATGATAACATATGCCACACGGTGGATGAGCAATAATAAACCGATCACTTTTTGTCACAGCCAAAAGCGAAACACTCCAGCGTCCTTGAGCAGTATACTTGCACCTGAACTTTAACCCAAGACAGAAAACTCTGACAAATCAAAGACTCCGCGTTCAACTTCCTCCCCTAACAGTGTCTGAGTCACTCTTTAATACTGGTGCCCAAACAAAAAGCCACTGGTGGGAGCAGGGTTAGATTACTAGAGGCTTTCCCACAATACCAGTCTCCTTTCATGAATTATTATTATCTGTCATGGTAGGACCTAGAGGCTCCAGCCAAGATTGAGGCTCCATTGGGCTAGCGGCTATATAAACATAGTAAGAGACAGCCCCTCTCCTGGACAATTTACAGTATAAAAAGACCAGATAGACAAAGGGGTGGAAACAACAGAAGCACAGGGAGATGAAGTCATTTGCCCAAAGTCACACATTTGCAGAGCTCCTGACTCCAAGTCCAGTTACTTGTCCACTAGAACAAGCTGCCGCCCCAGGATACACTGTACCTGTGAGAGCCCAATCCCCAGTTTGTTTTTGCAGAAGCCTGTCCACCCCTCATGCTCCGGGACCTGCTAAATAAAATCTAAATAGACTACACAGGAACTCAGAACAGGCCACTGATTTTACACCCTTAGTCTTTAGAGCAGGCGATTCCAACCCAGCAGCCTTCTATGTAAAGTATTCTGCTGGCTCCCCAAGTCCGAAACGCTTTACTCAAGTCATTCCTATTCTTACATCTTGATGAATAGCAGGCAAAAGGATTCACAAGCCACCTTTCCACTTGGGCACCTTTACACTCCTTTTTGTTCTCTTATACAGGAACATTCCCTGGAGAGAGTTTTAGCTCGCATGAATATCGCAGAATGGCTCTTCATGCAAATAACCACATTCACCCTCGAACATGGACCTTTGTGCACAAACACGGGTCTTTGTCATTCCTCATTGAAGCAATCGCCCTCTTATAATGTTGCAGAGTCATCCAATCAGGGAACAATACTGTGACTTGGGGCAAACAAATGCCACAAATGACAAAAAAATCAACAGGATGAAATGTGAAACAAGAGAACGTATTTCACTCTATGGGTTCACTTAAGTGATATTGACAATTATTGCATTCATACAAATCACAGTATGTTCAGGGACAATTTGTGAATTGGAAAAAAGGGCTTAATTACGCTAATAAATTGTCCACCACTAATTGTCTGCCCGGCTCTAGTTACTCTCACACTTTTAAAATGTGAGCTTCCAAAACCCCAGTCTATCAGATATAAAGTATTAAATTACAGACACCGTGAGACATCCCAAGTCACAGCTGCACAATTATTCCATGACAAGTAGAAATCTATAACTCAGATATCCACTCAGGAAGCAATATGGTCTAGAGGGTGAGAGAAGGGATTTGGGAGACAGGACTCCCGGGTTCTTTTTCTGCCAAAACGAACTGTGTGACTGTAGGCAAGTCTCACTTCACCCTTTGGTACCTCAGTTTCCCCATCTGTGAAATAGGGATAGCACTCATCTCCCTCACTGGAGTGCTAAGAGGCCAGGCGCTTCTAAAAGTGCTTAGAGAATCCTCGACAGCATCTTGCACTTACACAGCGCCCTTCATCCCAATATCTTAAAGCACAGAAAGGTGCGGAAAGCCAGTATGAGGATGATGGACTACAATGATAAGTGACAGCAATTAATACTTAGTGCTTACATAGCACGTTTCGCACCCGGATCTCAAAGTGCTTTACAAAAGATAAGTGACATTTATCCACATTCTGCAGAGGAGGAAATGGAAGTGCAGAGAGATTTAGTGAATCACTCAAGTAAAGACACACACACACAGACACACACACACACAGTGACCCAGTGGCAGAGCCAAAAATTGAACCTAGTCTGCCTGGTTCCCAGCCCTCTCCACCAGACTGCCCTGGAAAGATGATAGGATTTAATTGTGCATTAATCACATACATCAGCAAATGCATATTTTCTTCTTTTCTATACATTTATATTTTTTCCCCTGGGTCAGTGCAACTCTTGTTTAAAAAGGTCGCTAACATGTAACAAGCCACAGATGCTGAGGGATTTCTGATCTCTCAAGAATTCCGAAGTGCATGGATCACACACAATGAGAGACTTGCCCCATTATTCCTAAAGGTTTATGAGTCTGACTCAGTTGTGTGATGTTGTCAGTAGTTTTGACTGAATCATGAATATATCCAATTATGTGTGATGCTGACAGAATAGAATATTGATAGTCAATAATTACAGGCTTTTCAGGCCAACAAAGTAGCTCGTCCCTCTTTTCATAAATTATCTTACGACATCTATCTTAAAAATGGCTATGCCAGGCCTGACCCACACTGACTCCACTGACTTTCTATCAGATGCCATCTAAACTCAAGATTTATAGTTTACTCACAAAAGGATGGATAATGTTGCAGATTTTTCAGGAAGCAGTGCAGCTTTCCAGCGTGCCTCTGTGCTACAAATCCCTCCTCCACTACAAATCATGCAGTCACTCTGAACTCAGGGAGAGTAATGCACTTGCTCTGCAAAGGGGAACAAATCCAGCTCCTCCACACACTTTCCATCCTCACCCCACAACCTGGAAGAGTTTGCAAATGCAAACGTTAGAAGGAAAAGGTCACAAATTTTAGTGACTACGGGCCAGATACGCAAAAGAATTTAAGTGCCTAAAAATGCAGATAAGTGGCTAGTGGGACCTACAAGAGCACCTAACCCGGACGGGCACCTAACTCCCATTGAAAGTTTATTAAAAAATATTACCTCACTCACCTCATCTCTATTGAAAGTCTACCACAATTAGGTGCCTAACACAGGCATATGCACCTATCTGCATCTTTAGGCAACTAAATACCTTTGTAAATCTAGCCCTAAAGTATTTAGGAGCACAAGTCCCATTCACTTTCATTGGGACTTGTGGCCCTCAATCTCTTAGGCATTTCTGAAAGTCTCTCCCTGACATTTTTTATGTCCAGAGAAACATTCTTGTAAAGACTGATTTGGGCAATTCCCGCTCTGATTATATCCAACTGATCACTAGTTCTAGATTCATTAAGAGCTCCCTCCCCCACAACGGGCATGTCTCAAAGCAACATCTACCTTGCAAGGACAAAACAAGTCTGGCAAAGCATTTCGGTGCCAAAACAGGGCAGTCGGGTTACAACTGGTGAGACAAGAGCTACTTCTCTGTAGTTTGAAGAAGCTGCCACTCACCGGATTTTCCTTCCTTTGCTGGCTTTTCGGTCCACTTTCTTCTGTATTTTGCTTCGTAACTTCTGGATGGCCAGCCACTGCCTGGGGAATCCAAAGTGGTGGTTACGTATCATTGCTAGGGCTGTTTTATCAGGCCAATTTTTAGGAAGAATCACAAGGTGACAATGGTAAAAACCATGGAAATGCGGCTTTAAAAGCTCAAATGCCCACAGCATTGTTCTTCGCCCCAAAGTTGGTACCCTAAATAACTGTGGCACTGTCCATCACTTGAGCTCTCTTCAGGACCCCATTGCAAGCTAATGCTGCCCTCGTTTTCATTAGCACACACCAGTCTCCCTGTACTACATACTGAAATGCCCCTGAGGAGGAGTACATAGCTACAAACAAGAGAGCACAGGGAACCTTAGAGACTAAGGGCTTATGTGTAGATGACCACGGACTCTGGCAGATCTCAGGGGCTGAAGCCCCAGCCATTCTGTGGGAGACAGATAAGTCGGCCTGGTTTTGGTGCAATGATTAATATTCAGTGGGAATTCACGTCCGGCGTGCAGGAAAAAGCCACAGCGGGTACAATCTGGCACTATGTTTTTATTCTTTCTTGGCTATTGATAATTTTTTTTTAAAAGAAAGAATCTTTAGAATTCAAAAGATTTTCTTCATCAAACAGAAATGCTAAGGCCAGTAAAAACCCTTAAAGGATTACTGCATTTTTTGTTTGTTTGTTTGTTTGTTTCAACAGCTATTACAATAAGTTGTATTTTGTATAAAGAAAGCACGCAGTAGAATAGATTGTTTACCGATCTCCATTTATCATAAGCTACGTATGTAGCTGGTTCTTTAAGTGGGGAGGGTTATACTAACTTCATAAACAGATTTAACATTATACAGCAGTTCCGTTTGAATTAGTTTCCTTCCAGGCTTTTGGAAAGCATATATAAAATTACAAGCGAGTGTTTCTTTCCCACTACCTCTGACTATAATAACCGGCAAATCCCCCGCCAAAACCACTGCATAATGTTATGTGCATTTCTTAATAAAAACAAACAAAAGGAAAGCAACAAGCAAATTCAGAAAGTGCTGCTTATTCCCCATCACTGTTTAGAAGGGAGGATTCAATTCCTCAAACAGAGCTTGCTCAAGTCAAAGAAGTTTCCACAGGGGGAAATAAACTGCTACTAGTTACAAAAAATTTTTTTTAAAAAAGAAACAAGCGTCCTCTTACCTGATTTATACAATGAAAACCCAATATCAGGGGGGAAAATCTAGCAAAATCCAATTACCGCAATCTTAATATAATCTTAATTACTGTAATCTATTTTATTGTAAAGTCAGATAAATGTACAATGTAATCACCACTTAAATGCAATTTTGGCTATGCCACGTTAAATTATAGGGAATAGCTTTCCATAATATTTCAGACATACACAAAATAAATTTGACCTACTGCACTAAAATTCAAGTCATATGTCACATGGATAAAAAGTTATTTCACTGACACAAAATTTCATAAAGCATTTTCCCTTCCTTTCCCCCTATACACACACATCCCCGTATCACTTTTCAGTGGAGAATTCTATTCTATCGTTTTCAGCTTTCCTTTCCTTTTATGCTTTTCTAAATTATGGCCTGTGGCTATTTAAATGTAGACTGTTCATTAAGCAGTATTTGGAATGTTCTGTATTTTCTAGCCACAGAATTAGACTGAGAAATAAGAGCTCCCTCTCAAAGCATACATTTTATTTTTGGCACATAGGAAACATTCCCGTCTGCTGTTTTAATTGTACTGTACCTTTTCTCTTTTTAAAAAAAAAAAAAAAAAACCAGCAGGGAAGGTGCATACAAGGGAACCCCACATTATACAGCAAGTTTGATTCTTTATATGACGACAAATCAGAGTTCATCATCTGATCCCAGATTTCACCAGTCGCTTCATCTAGAGCACATTTGTCAGGCTACAGCAAGACTCTTTCCCCCAAACTCGGGGAGTCTGATAGGAGGTAGACAGGAAAAGTAAGTCTTGAAAGCAAGAAAGAGTGCAGGTGGCTTAGAAAAGAAATAAGCCTGGCTGCAAAAGAGTAATAATGCTTTCAGGCATCATCTTTAAGCCATTACTTATTATTGGGGTGATTTATCGGTTTTATTTATTTATAACCATTCCTCTAGGTGCTGCACCAACAACTGAATTCAATAGTTCCAAAGTTTGTAACAAGACTTGTTACAAGCTCAGTACAAGAGCTGCTGCTGCATATCCCAGCCACCTCCATCCTCCTCCCCACCCTCCGCCTCTATCAAGCCCCCTTACCTCTCCAAGTTTGGGCAAACCAGTGGGGCCCTGCAACACGAAGGCCAGCAAATACAAGTTCTGGCAGTCCAGAGCCATAGAGTCCTCCCTGAGAATACCCTGCCTAGCTGATAGTATGCCATTGCTTTTAACCAACCATCTTATTACACCCAACTGCTCTCCATGAAGTCAATGGCAAAAACATACTTTAACACTGCACCTCATATTCTTCATAGTGTTATTATTATATGACATGATTATGGCATAATTATGATGCGTTTTGTACAAGATAAGTTATGTGAGGTGTCATTGGAAAAGTTATGATTTGCTGAAGATGATTATCCTATCTGTATGCATGGATCATTTTTGTATCTGAAGTTATGAATATTGACTGTGTATCTGTATTTCCAATGTAGTTACACCTGGGTAATGCCCACTAGCCAAGATGCTTTCAGTCTAGATTGTGGGTGAGGAAGGGCCTATTCAGGGCAATGAGCCATTAGGGAAAACAATAGGTCTTAGGAGAAACTTATCCATCACCTGGTGAGCCTTCTTGAGAAGGCTCCAGACAGCCTGTAAGTAATGGCTGCTATGACTCAGCAAGGTATACAAGGGCTTGTGACTAGGCCACATGACTCTGGACTCCATCTTGGGATGTCAGTGTTTTTCCACAAACTAAGGTTTGGGACAAAGGGTTCCCGCCATATGCTAAAGCTAATAAGACAGGAAGTGACATCATCGGTGGTTCTTCATTCCTCACACAAGAAGATTCCTGGAAACACCTGAGGAACAAAGACTGAACTACGGGAAGTGCTGGACCCAGGCTAAAGGGATTTCGAAACTGTGTATGAAAACCTGGGGATTCCAAGCTGCAAAGCAAGTGTAGCTGGTGCCTTAAGAATCTGCAGCCTGCTTGTATCATCAGCCAGGGTGAGAATTTGCTAATTCATATCCTATCTTTCTAGTATCTTAGACTTAGTTTGCGTTTTTGTTTATTTACTAGGTAATCTGCTTTGATCTGTTTGCTATCACTTATAATCACTTAAAATATATCTTGTGTAGTTAATAAACTTGTTTTTGCTTTATCTAAACCAATGAGTTGGAGTGAAGTGCATGGGAAATCATAGCTCTAGGGGCAAAGGTTGTTGCATATTCCTCTCCACCTTGAGGAGTGGGGGGTGAACTCTATGAGCTTGCGCTGTACAGTTCCCTGTGCAGTGCAAGACGGTATAATTTTGGGTTTATGCTCCAGAGGGGGGATGTGCCTGGGGAGCTGAGAGTTACTTTGGCTTTAGCCTTTCTACTGTTGGTTCGTGAAGTGGCTAGTCAAAGAGCCTGCATATAATTGCAGCTGGGTGTTGTCCCTACCTGTGTGAATGCTTGTGAAAGTGTAGGACTGGGAGTGGGTCTGCAGTTTATCACAGCACACAGTGTGAGAGGGAGCCCAGGTTGGTGCATCAGAGGGCTCAGTGGTACCCCAGTCCCAGGGGGCACCCCAGAGGGAACCCGTCACACATAAAGAAGCAGGATTGGGAACTTTTGGGAAGTTTTACATTCATGGAATCAAAGTGGCTGTGGAGTGAAGCTAGTTACAGAGCATACAGACAGCTACAGCTCATCACTTACCTGCCCATGGCCACCTGATCGTTGGGGTCCAGCGAACTGGTTTTCCGTTCTATAAGTTCTCGAAGGAGCTAGAGGAGGGAAGAGAATAACCAAATTTAAAAGCACATTAAACACAGGTCAGCACTGAGTCTGAGATTTTCAAAGGAGCCTAAGGAAGTTGGGTGGAATTTGTGTGCCTCACAGCTTTAATTTTTTATTTTTATTTTTTAGAAACCCTGTCCACATACCAAAGGTATTATTGTTTTCTTAGCCACTGCTAGCTTTAAAAGACAGCAGGAATTTTGAGTGACATGGCGAGGACTATGCTGAAAAAAGTACAATCAATAAAACAAAACCCAGTGGCAAAAGAGCAGGTGAATTCATATTAACCCCTTCTTTAGAAAAGAAAAATAAAACATGACTGAAGCATATAACTGAAGGCCATTAGGAAGACTTATTGTGCTACAGTTAATTTCAGATGGATCAATGACTAGTGCAGCATTCCCTTCATCATTTTATGATTAGTTTATCCCGCCTCATCGGTATCAACTGAGAAGGTCAGGCAGATATAGAGGGGAAGGATGCTGTAGCACACTGGATCAAACATTAGTCTCCCACCAATGGGTCGATGAACTGGTGATCTTAAGTCTAAATGAGTGGGATGGTGGTGGATCAGCCAGTGCTGGCCAGTAACTGAAAACGCCAAGCCATCCTGGAGAATTCAGCACCATTTCTTAGGGGAGCTTAAGGAGTGAAGCAGGCTGAAGATTACAGGCCACGATCTGAGTTGGGCATCCAGGCACTCTCGTAATACAAACAGTGCAGTCCTAGGTGGTGTATGAAGATGCAGCTCATGGGAGCATAGGAACTGTCATACAAAATAAGATCAGTAGCGGGTAGCGTAACCTGTCTGCCAGTTCCAGGTGTGTCAGAGGAATCTTTCTCTCTCTGTGTATACGATAGATAGATAGATAGATAGATAGATAGATAGATAGATAGATAGATAG